TGTGCAGAAACCCGGAGATAGAAAACTAAAAGGGAAAAATATGTTAGTATTTCTCAAGCTGAAATAACTGAAGAAAATAATGAAAGCTTTCAGTTTTAATATTGAAGGACTCTATTGGCAAAACATTTAGTGACTGATGAGGTATCAGAAGAGGGAAGGAATACACAGAACCGCTATGTCAAAAGAACTGGATGATTTTCAAACATTTCAGTTGGTAGTATCTAATCAACAATCAATGGCATTGAAAGAAGGACTCAAAGTTGCAGAAAGGCATTGGCAAAAATCAAGACTCCAGGAATTGACAAACTATTAATTGAGATGTTTCAACTAACAATGCAATGCTGGAAATACCCTCTCATCTATGCCAATAAATTTGAAAGACAACTATCTGGCTAACAGATTGGAAGAGATTCATATTTTTGTCCATTCCAAAGATAAATGATCTGACAGAATGTAGAAATTATTGAGTAATATCATTAATATTACAAACAAATTAAGTTTTGTTGAAGATAGTTCCTAAACTGTTGCAGTAGTATATCAACAGAGAACTGCAAAAAATTCAAGCTGGGATTCAAAGATCACATAGAACAAAGGTTATTATTCATGCCTGATGGAAATTGATTAAAAGCAGAGAATACCAGAAAGATTTTTACCTGTGCTTTATTGACTATTTAAAGGCATTTAACCGTGTGTATCATAATACATTATGGATAACATTGCAAAAAGTTTTAAGTCTTAAATACTTAATTATGCACATGCTGAGTTTGTACATAAGTCATTCTGGCAGAACAAGGGAATATTGCATGGTTTAAAATCAAGAAAGTTACAGTAGGATTGTATCTTTTTATCATACTTATTCAATCTGTATCTTAAATACATAATCCAATAAGTTGGACTATATGAAGAAGAATGTGGATTGGAGGACATCTAGCAATCAACCTTCTATATGAAGATGACAAAACCTTGTTTGCTGAAAGTGAAGAAGACTTGAAGCATGTATTGATAAAGATCAGAGACTACAGCCTTCAGTGTGCATTATAGAGACATCAAAATCCTCAAAACTGGACCAAGAAGCAACATAAAGATTGAAGTTCTCAAAAAAGTGATTTTACTTGGATCCACAATCAACTGAAGCAGCAGTCTATATCAAATGACTTTTGGTATTGGGCATATCTCCAGTAAAAGAGTTATTTAAAGTGGTCAGAACCAAAGATGCTATTTTGAAGACTAAGGTGCACCCAACCCAAGTCATGATATTTTATATCACCTATTACGGGGTTGCTATGAGTCGGAACCGACTCCATGGCACATAACAACAACAACAACAATATTATGCATAAAAAAGATGATCAGTTAATAAAGAATACTAAAGAACAGTTGATGGTTTTGAAATATATTATTAATGAATAATATATAATGGACAGTTAGAAGCATTTGTATTGGAAGAAGTACAGCAAGCATGTGCTGTAGAAGCAAGGATGGAGAGATTTTGTCTCATGTATTTTGGACATGTTATCAGGAAAGATCAATCCCTCTAAAAGGTTATCATGCATACTAAAGTAGAGAGTCATCAAAAAAGAGCAAGTCCTTCAATGAGATGGATTAACACAGTTGCTGATACAATGGGTTAAAACATAGCAAGTTTGTGAGAATGGTGCAGATCTAGGCAGTATTTCATTCTAGTGTACATGGTGTCAAAACTGGTGCAATGGTCGCTAGTAACAACAACAGCATTGTGCTGAACAAGTTTCAGTGGACCTTTCAGACTCAGTAGGTGGAAAGGCCTAATTATCTGTTACTGAAAATCAGTCAATGAAAACCTTACAGGTTTCAGATATTAAATCAAACAAAGGAGATGGTACAGGACAGGATAGCATTTCTTTCCTTTGTACAAGTGGTCACCAAAAGTAGGAGACCAACTTCACAGTAGCTAACAAGTGAAAGTAGCCAGTCACAGGAGGCTTTTCAGTGTGTTGTTGGGCCATTGATTTTAAATGCTCAGAATTGGCAAATTCATAGAAACTGAACACATGTTAGTGGTACCAGAGTGTGGAAAGAGAAAAAATGAGGTTTCCTTTTGTGGTGATAAAAACTTTCTAATACTAGTTAGTGGTGATAGTTGTACAACTCTGTGAGTATACTAAAAGCCCATTTTACACATGAAAAGAATGAATTTTATGATATGTGAATTATGTATCAATAAAGCTGGTTTTGTTGTTGTTTTACCAATAAAGCTGTTTTTGTTTCTTATAAAATAGAGAAATGTAGGGATGGAAATATCAATTTATGGTCCGTAAGAACAAATGCTAACTCTAAACATGCAAATAAAAAGTGCTTTTTAGAAAGAGCAGTAAAAATACAAAGTAAATACCCACCTTACAAGTATATAGTAAAGCATTGTTGTGAGAATTAAACCATTTATATTTCTGTTTTGACAATTCTCATTGCACTGTGCTTATACCTTTTCAAGTTATATATTTTATTTTGTCATTGATTAAATATCAGACATTCATAACCACTTGGGTTTTATTCACCAAAGGGCAGGGGTGTTCAAAGGTTTTTTTGTATAATACTTTCCAATAAAATATTTTAATGAATAAATAAATGTTATATAGATGTATTATGGATCCTTTTCTAGTACCTAAGTTTAGAGATTTTTGTAATTTATAACTATAATTTCACGTAGAACCTGAACATAGTAGGATCAATAGAGTCTGAAGATCTTGGACTTATTAGCCCCAAATTAGGGGACCTGGTTGTATAAGTCAATTGATTATCAGTATAGACATTACCCAGGGCCTGGCTGTAATTTGGAATAAAATAAGGTCATGACTAGATTTATCTGAGACTTGTTCCATGTTTATCATAGCTCAAAATATGAGCACTTCCCCTTTGTTTACACAGTCTTAGATAGAAACTGTTGGAAGTAAAACTCCTAAGATAATTTTGTATTAAATATTTATAATCTTTTTCTCTGCGTAAAAATTTCTAAATAAATTCATTTTAATATGTGTTTTATGTTTCATGTGTTCTTATAAAAATACTTAAACCTTTTGCTTGTAATTTTCTTTTTTTCTGGTTCTCTGCATGTACTATTCATTTTTGAAATAGGAATTTTCAATCTGATACTGATTCTTATAACAGAATACAATAAATGAATCTATACTTTTTTTTTTTTTTAATTCTCACATTGTTTAACAATAATAATTGAGTTTAAGTTAATGGTACCTCTTTAGTATTTAATTATTGAAGCACCATTGCTGTTTTTATGTTTGTACACTTTAAAAAGTTTTATTTATTTTCCTAGCCAGTTTCTTGCATTTTATCTGTTGTATACCATACACAAGAAGCTCTGGTAGTGTAGTGGTTACGAATTGGGCTGCTAATCCCATGGCCAGCAATTCGAAACTACCAGCTGTTCCACAGGAGAAAGATGAGGCTTTTTGCTCCCATAAAGATTTACAGCCTTGGAAACCCTGTTCAGGGTCAATATGAGTCGGAACCAACTCCACAGCAAATAACAACAACATACAATACACAGTAAATTATGAATGCAATGAATTGTGTTTTAGCAAATACATGTATCAAGTGTAGATATCTAGAACTGCAAAAGAATATAGAATAGCAACTTAATATTAATCAATAATTTTCAAATTATTTATGAGATTGTTTCTTCATTTTTTATGACTGTTCTTAACACTGAATTGTAATTATGTTTTTCTTTAGGTATTTAAAAATCAACTAAGTGCTGTCTAGATGTACATTGCATTTGTATATGCTGACCACATCCACATTTGTTTCTTTGCAGGGGGACATCCAGCAACTGTTGATTACAGGTGACCCCAAAGCAGCATATGACTACTGTGAGCATTACAGTCCAGACTGTGACTCTTCATCGCCCAAGTCTGCACAAGCTCAGGAACCTCAGGTAGATGAGGTGAGGAACACAATGTCAGGGCAAGTGTTTTCATTTCAGTGCTGTGGAATAGCCTTGCTTTAAAAATCATATGTGCCTATCCACTCAGTTTTAGTTAAGCTGTACTTTTAATCTAATGTTTGTTGTGCTGTTGAGATCTAATAGTATAATAATATTTCTAGAAATAAATGACTAGAAGTTTTTCTTCTCACTTAAATCGTTTGTAATTTGAAGTTATTACAAACAGAGGTAGCACACTCATATACTAATATATATAAACCTTTTGCCATCAAGTTGATTCTAACTCTTGATCTTCTAGAACAGAGTAGAATGGCTTACACAGTTACCAGGGTTATAAACTTTATGGAAATAAACTGCTATATTTATCTCCTGCACAGTGACTGGTGGGTTTGAACTTACAACCTTTCAGTTAGCAGCCAAGTACTGAAGCACTGTGCCATCAGGACTCATATTTTGGGAGGGAGAGAAAAAATTAATTTCTAAAAGCTGTATTTCTCCCCTCAGCAGTTCAATAGTGAAAACTGGTTCAATATAATGATTACATATCCTGAGGCTTTTAACAATTCATGAAAAGTTAAAGGTGATATTAGTGGTGGTGGTGATGGGGATTGTGTTCCCTTGAGTCTGTTCTAATTCATAGAAATTCTGTGTAGAGTTTCTGAAGTCCTGGTATGATGCTGTAGGGTAAGCACTTGACTGATTGCAAGGTCAGTCTGAACTGCAAGGTGGATGGTTGAAATTCACCAGCTGCTCTTTGGAAACACTATACAGGATTGCACTGAGTTGGAAACACCTCTACGGTGATTATGAGTAGGAATTGACTCGATGGCAGTGGATCTTTTTTATGGTTTTATTTTTGTTTGTTGTTATGTTTAGAAGCCGTTCAAATCATATTTTTCTTTTCTTTGAAATATATTAGGTGCCACATTTGGGGTTTTACTGTGTAGAATTGGGTGTTGTTGAATGCCGCTGAGTCGGTTCTGAGTCATAGCGACCTGTATAGGGTTTCTGAGGTTGTAAACCATTATGGGAGCAAAAAGCCTCATCTTTCTCCTCTGGAGCAACTGGTAGTTTCTAATTGCTGACCTCGAGGTTAGCAACCCAATTTATAACCATTATGCTACCAGAACTTATATAAGACCTTATATCATTGTTATCTCTGCATATGATTCAATTTGAAGTTTATAATTCTAATATTAGAAATACATTTGTGACATCACTTTTTCGGATATGATGTGAATTCTGTTACATTGATCTTTTCTATGAAGTAATATTACTGCTTTTAAAAGCATGTTTATATCATCAAGTCAACAAGAAGGAAAATAAGAGAGAGGGAAGGGAAGTTACCTGAATATTTGTGTTTCCATCTTTATTTATTTTTAAGTGCTTTATTGTTTTAATTTCCTCATTATCACGTAAAATGATTTTCTTTGAATTCCAAGAAGATAGTTACAATTCTCGTCAGGTTTAGGGCTTTTATATCTGAGAGGTCATGTTGTATTTTAATACTAAACTCTATAGCTTTTCAATGTACATGTTCACGATTGCAGAGGTCTATTTCATTTTGTTTTACAAGATAAGGCTTATTCTTTTGAGTAACATATGACTCTGTTTTTGGAAGAGTGAAGATAAGCATTTGTATTGATATGTTTTATTCCCATGTTTTAATGCTATTATGTGAGATAAGATGAGTTCTTTTAAAGCAATATAATCCACCATCTAATCAGTTAGAAATGGCCTTGCCTTTTTATTTAATTGTTGATGCATATTTATAACATGTAGCTGAGATGTTAATCTTTCTTTATCTGAAGCATTTGATGGAACAAAGTACATTGGTATAATAGACACAGAATGAAAATCAGTTTGGTAATTTAGCAGTGGAAATAATTTCATATTGGTTTCTGTATTGAATATGACAAAAGGAAAGTTTTCAGGTTTGTTAAATTATTTTAAACAATAACAAACTCATTGATTTCCTCTTAACTTCAAATTACAATGATTCTACATACAATGTAGTATGAATGTGTGTGTATATACTCATCCAGACACACACACACATACACACACACTTGAGAAAAGGTCAAAGATATTGCAACTAGGATTCCACTTTCATACATTCATCAGTTTATTTCAAACACAGTATGTTCAAACATGTCTCTGTGATCAGTAGATGACCGCAGACAAGTTCTCTCATTACTACGAGGGGGATTCTAACAGCTTGTGCAAAAATTCAATTATCATTTTGTTCCATTTTTCCATGAACTTTTGAAGGCCATTTTACACTTGCCTTAGCCTCATTAGGATGCCTGCAAAAAAAAAAAAAAAGATACTAGAAAAAAGTGTTGTATGGAAATAAACTAGCACAAAAGACTGATCTTTTCACCAATCTTTTACATCAAATTGAAGCTAATGAAGACAATTTTATGGAACAAATTGTAATCAGGGACAAGTCTTGGATTTGCCAATATGCTCCAGGAAATAAGGTCCAATGAGACAAAGGCTTTAAGGAGATCTTCTTGGTGAATTAAATTTAAGTCAGAGAGGTCATCTCAGGAGGTTATGGTGACATTTTTTTGTATTCTAGAGGGGTATTTTTGATAGATTTTCTCGACGGACACAGGAATGACATGGGGGTTTATTAAGTAAAAAAGTCAAGAAAATTGAAGACTGAACTGATGGGACAAAGTCCAGGAATATGCTGAAAAAGTTTTTCCATTATGAAAAATTTTTTTCATTTATTGAGGATAGTAAGGGCTGTCTTAATTAGAATTCTGTTGGGAAATCTTATTCTCTCCATACTTTAGCCCCAATTTAGACTTATTTTTGTTCCCCAAAGCATAAACACACACACATACACAAACAAAAACAAAAAATAATTTACGATTTATGTGATCTGACTCCTTCAAAGATGTCTAAACTACTATCTATTTTGAGATAGTGTAAATTGAAGAGCACAAAATTCTTCATGGAAGGATTACAGAGATAGACACACAGCCTTTAGAAGTGCCTAAATGGCAGATATATCAGGAAACAATAAATCCACATATTAATATTTTTATTTAATAATCTCTATGGTTTTGAAAGATAGGACTTTCTGCTCCAGTAAAGATCTGCAGCCTCGGAAACCCTGTCCAGGGTCGCTATGAGTTGGAACTGACTCCACAGCACTTAACAACAACAATGGTTTTGTAGCAGTACCTTTTGACTTACCTGTGTGTGTGTGTGTATTTCAAATTTGTATGTATATATCACTAGTTATTTAAATTAGAAAGTAACCCTCATTAAATTTGAACTATATACGTTCTATTTAAGTATATTTGTTGTTGTTGTTGTTAATTGCTGTCGAGTCAGTTCCAAACTGTAACAACCCTATATAAGGTTTCCGAGGAGCAGATGGTGAGCTTGAACCGCTGACCTGTGGTTCAAACCACCACACCAAGACTCCTTGCTTATATTACAGATGTGGATTTTAATAATTGGTCTATAAATCTTCTACCTACAGGAGACAGTAATGCAGTGTTATTCACTAATGAATAAAGGGCAGAGAGCATGATGCAGATTATCAAGCATGCATGTTATACTTTGTGCTGCTTAATTTTCCATTAATTTGTGATATTGAAAATTAGTTTTTCTAACTTAACTATAAATATGTCAATGCTTTTATAAATTAATTTGAGTGTAATTTTCCAAACTATAACTTTTTCTAGTTGTGTCCTCTGAATAACATATTCTAATCCATTTTTAATATTCAGTTAGTTACATGCTTGGCAAAGCATTGCATAATCATCATATATTGAATAGTGAGAAGTGTGTAATGTATACAGATTAAAATTTAGTAATATCTTTAAAATGTTATTCTATTTGAAGTAATACTGTAAAATCTGAAAAAAAGATTAGCCAATAAAAAGTACAATGGCTTTGGGATTTTTGCATCAAGAAAACTCATCTTCCTAAATTGCAAGAAATTGGATGCTTAGTTTAATATATTACACATATATGTAGTACTCTATCCACTGTTGTTAAGTGACATGGAGCAGATTCTGACTCATAGAAACCCTGTGTAGAGTTTCTGAGGCTGTACATCTTTGAGAGATAAGAAAGCCTCATTGTTTCTCACATGGAGCCACTGACCTTGTATTTGTAGGTTGAGTGCTTATTGTACAAGCCAATGAACTCCTTGCTTTATCAATAATAGCCATTAAAGTTATCTTTTATAAAGGACAAAAAAGAAAAATGAAACAAAGGAAAGATAATCTTCTGTAAAGGAATTAAAAGTTAAAAAAAAAATAAAACAATAATCTAATTTTTCAATACTTTCAGCATTGATTTTCATTTCACTTAATTGTTGCTAGTGCCATGGAGTTGCTTTTGACTCGGCTACCCTATGTTATGTAGCAGAACTAACACAAAGGTTTTTTTTCCTTGGTAGCAACCTTTATAGAAGCACAGCATCATATCTTTCACCAGCAAAACTGCTGGGTGGGTCCCGATCTAGAACTTTAAGCTTAGAAGCTGACTGCTTAAACATGTGGCCACTAGGCCACTTTTTTCACTTAATTGCTGTTGTTAAGTGTGGCATTGTGGGATAAAGCATTGGACTGCAAGGTCGGTTTGAACCACAAGAGCAATTCAAATTCAGCTTGGAAACCTTATACGGGTCGCTGTGAATAGGAATCAACTTGACGGCACTTAGCAACAACAGCAAGTGCTGACGAGTCAATAGTTTCGACTTAGAACAACCCTTGTTTTTGAGTGCTGGCTGGTGTGTTTGAATCATCAACTTTGCGGTTAGCAGTCCAGTGCTTAACTTACAGTGCCACACCAGGACTCCTTTCATTTGATAGTTATTCTATATCCTAGGTCTCAAAGTATAGGTTTTTACTGATGCCACTAAGTGTCTAATGAGGTAAGTAAGAATCCCAGAGTCTACTGCCGTCACATCAATTCAAATCATAGTGACTTTGTGTAGGCTTTCTGAGACTGTAGATCTTTATGCAATCAGAAAGCCTCATCTTTCTCCCTGCAGAGCTACTCGTGGGGTTTGAACTACTGACCTTGTGGTTAGCAGTCCAGTGTTCATTCTACAGCTTAAGAATTCCAGAAGATTCTTCTTTCTCAAACATTATAGATTCTGGTATTCTACTCACAGGTGAAGTTGGTAATCATTCCATTACTGCCATGTCATTCCTCTGAATGGTCACAGCTATTTTTTCCTTCTTCATCTGTCTTCAAGAAATCTTAAAAATTCCATAATGAGAAGGAAGAATCATCTCTAGAAAGATAGGCTCTAAGGTTCACATGAGCCAACAGATCCCTAAGTATACTCAGGAACACCAACAGAGGGAAAGCAGAGGCAACGATTTTGCTTGTTTGTTTGGTCTGATTCTTGAATAATTTCTAAAAAGAAAAGATACACTTTAGTGCTAGGAGGAACTCCGGTGGTACTGTAAGGTAAGCACTGAACTGCTAACATCAAGGTTGGCAATTTAAGTCCACCAGTCACTCTACAAGAGGAAGATGAAACTTTCTGCTCTGTAGAGAGGTATAAATATTTACTTCCTAAGTGCCATCGAGTGGGTTTCGAGTCATAGCGATCCCATGTAGGGTTTCCAAGGAGCAGTTCGTGGGTTTTGAACTGCCAACCTTGTGGTTCACATGTCCAGTGCTTACCCTAGTACTACAGCAGGACTCCATACAGGGTCACTATGAGTCAGTGTTGACTCGATGGCAGTGAGTTTTGTTTTGTTTGTTTTCAGTACCTTAGGCAAGTTGCCCTGATAGGACAGTGATAACTGGAAGGTAGAGAATACAAATCGGTCTGCGAACCTTAAGGTCAGCGGTTCGAAACTACCAGCTGCTCCGCGGGAGAAAGATCAGGCTTTCTACTCCTATAAAGATTTACACCCTCGGAAACCCTGTACAGGGTCGCTATGGGTCAAAATCGACTCGACGGCACTTAACAACAACAACAACAACAGTTACTTCATGGGAGAGAGCTTTGGTAGTCTGCATCCATAAAGATTTCAGCCTTGGAAACTCTGTAGAGTCACTATGAATCAAAATCAACTCTATGTCAACAACTTTGGTTTTTAATTTCTTTTAGTGCCTAAGGAGTTGAGCATGCTAATTCCACTATTATTCCATAACTAATCTGCCTGTCTCCAGTTTGAAAGAATTCAGATAGAGGAGATCACCATGGACCTAGAAGGTTGCACCTACAAGAAAAAGACATGATTTAAAGTGTAATGACTATTTTGGAATAAGTTTGTATATGAGTGGTGATGGTGATTGTATACCATCCAGTCAATTCTGACTCATGGCAACCCTGTCATTTCCAGGCTGTAAATTTTTATAGGACCAGAAAGCTTCATCTTTCTCACAGAGAGAAGCCGGTAAATTTGAACTGATGGCTTTGCAGTTAGCAGCCCAATGTGCACACAATATGCCACCAGGGTTCCTTGTATATGAATAGAGCCCTGAATACCAGGCCTTATTTAAATTATCTATTTAAAATATCAGGTTTTCTTGCATTTAGTTATTGCTTTTTGTGTTCACAATTTATTAAAGATTTACATGATTCTACAATTCTGTAAAATTTAATATAAATCCTATGATAGATCAGCAAATCCATTTTGTTTATTTTACATCAAGCTGGCAGCTAGTAATTATAGATACCCAATATTTCTGAGTTCAAAATGGGGACCATAACTTTAGAATATTTACTCAATAGATATATATTCAATTTCTATTAGTATTTATTTAATATGTAGTTAAATTGAGTACTTAATTTTAATTTACTTGGATGCTTAGTATGGTGATATAGGCCTAATAATTACAAGGTTGACGGTTCAAACCAACCAGCTGCTCATTGTAACCTGATATAGGGTTCCTATGTTGCAGGACCAGTCTGCATGAGGGGGTTCTCCAGAGGCAGATGGGGAATGAAAGCAATAGGGGCCTCGAGGTGGTCAGTCAAGAGTGAGTTTATTACCTACAATATAGCTTTCAGTACAATCTTAGGCAGGAAGCATATTTGGGCACAACAACACAGCTAAAGTTTATTATTATCTAGATAACAATCAGGCACAAATATTTTCTCCTCATTATAGACTTCTCCCCCAGCCACCTGGGCAGTGTGTTCATTCCCACCATCTTTGGCATTCAAGGTTTTCCTTGCTGTTCTCATCAAGGTGTTCCTTGGTTTGAGAACTGCCTCAGAGTGGGTTTCACACATGTCCTGTTCTTCCTACACTATGCGTCAGAACTGACTGTCCAGCACTTTACAACAACATTGGTTTTACTGGGGAACATAGTGGCTCCGTAGGATAACTACAAAGTCAGTGTTTTGAGCCCAGTAGTCACTCTGTGGGAGAAAGAAGAGGCTTTCTGCTCCCTCAAAGGTTACAACCTCAGAAACCTTATATTAGGGTTGCTGTGAGTCAGAACTGACTCAATGGCACTTAACAACAACAGCAGTGATATTATTAATTATGGTTATTTTATGTTCCTAGAAATAAGTGGCATTATACTTGCTTGCATAGACAAAAATGAAAAACAAAAACATATTTAATGTTATAGATAAGCATTTTCCTGCTTTACCAATTAGGGAAAACAACAACAAAAACTGTAAATATATATATATACACTCATTGATAATGAAACTATTACCCAAGGGATAAAATTATAAATTTTTTCCAGATTTGGCAATCATAAAGTACACTAAGTCATGTTTATGTTTGTATACTGGTATGTCTTTCAGCAAATCAATCCACAAAAATTATTTCCAGTGAAGGAAGTTTCCTCAAGTGCCAGTGTCATGGAATGGCTTTTATACATGCCACAGTATATATCTTTGTGAAGTTTGTTCATTATAATTGCTCTTGCTAACAAATCTCCTTGTAAGGCACAGTGAGCACAGTTTTTAAGAGACGTGTATTTTTGTTGTGTGCTGTTGACTTGGTTCTGACTCATAGTGACCCTGTATGTGATTTTCAAGGAGTGGTTGGTGGGTTTGAACCATCAACCTTGTGGAGAGCAGTCCTGTGCTTATCCTATAGGATTGCCATATCAGATAGACAGTAGTTATTGTTCTAGCAAATTAACAGGGATTAGTGAAATACCAAAAGATGTCCAGTGGAGACATAATTGGAATTTTAATAAATAAATAAGGAGTTCAAAATAAATTGCTTTAAAAAGTATATATGAGAATTCCAGTTGGGTTTGTGCTGAATTTTCCATTCCATATAAATGACTTTGGAGTCCTCGTATGGCAATGTAGTGTAAGCACAGGACTTCAAAGTCTGTTTGAGCTGTAAGATTGGCGATTCAAACTCACCAGTCATGCTTTGAAAATCCTATATAGGGTTATTAGTTGGAATCAACTTCACAGTACTTAGCAACAGCAACATATATATGACTTTGGTGTATTTACAGCTTTTTTAAATTAAAACAATGATTAATATTTTTTTTTAAGTAAACACATTATTGATTGAAAAGTAAATTCTTTCATAGAGAAATATTGCCTTTGAGATATATATTGTTTTTCTCATTATTCAATATATTTGAGCATCTTGCATGTTCCTGTATTTTTCTTAAAAATAGCCCTCTCCAACTACATTATTTTAATTTTGAAGAATCTTATGTAAAACCGATTTCCAATATGATTTCAATTTAAATAGCTCAAGTTCTCAAAGTTACATGTTATTATTTCTAATCAGAATTGAGCAGCAATTTTACTATTTCAAATAATTTGTTAATTATAAGTACATCTGTTAGTTGTTTTTTTTTTTTTTTTTTTAATATTTCATGAGAATTCTGCATTTGTTTTGATGTTAAGTGAGCCTATAGGCAGTCAGGGATGTTTGAATAAAGGTTTTTTTTTGTTGTTCTTCATTGATGTTAGCATTTCTTTTAGTTTATAGATTCATTTCATGTTTCGTACATTCTCCTCTTCTCTTGCCATAGACCAGGAATCACTTTTATACTCTGGAAAATTACCATCTATATTTTCATTATATAATATTTAATATAATAAAATTATATGTACCCATTCCAATTACTGTGAAATTCTTAAAGAGGAACAGTGAATATCAGTTTTTATGAATCCAAATTAACATAATTAACAACTATGTCCAAAGATAAAAATCCAACATTAATATCCAACAGCTTTAGTTTCACAATCCTAACCACTATTCTGCTCTTAGAAAACTTGCTTTTTCACTCCTGTTATTATACCCTGTATAAGGAAGTATAATACATCCATCTAATATGCATAATACCTTTGAAAGAATGACCATATTACCTTTTAACTTTTACTTTACGTAAAAGTTAAGATGATGCCCACTTGGTTAATATAGAACTTGCAACTAACATAATTGCCTGGTATTTTTCCTTTGCAATGTAGTATGCACCTGAGGATATAATCGAATATGACTATGAGTATGGGGAAGCAGAATATAAAGAGGCTGAAAGTGTAACAGAAAGACCTACTGTAACAGAGGAGACAATAGCACAAACAGAGGTAAAAACAAACTAGTGCCTTTGTATGTGGTGTCTTGCTGTTCGTTGTCCTGTGGTTCCTCTTGTCCTCTGTTCCTCAGACTTATAAACTTTCACTCAGCCTATTTCTACAAATCAATAACTGGTTTTATTTTTACAGTAGCTGCCCTGAAGAAATGATGTTTTTTTGCTTATCCTTCCTTTCATTCATGCTCTTTATATCCCTATTCATTTTATTTATGTTTCCCATTCCATCTTTCATCACATTTTACAGAAAAAGAAATCAAATTTCAAAAAGAAGACAAGGACAATGGCCACTAAGTCAAAGGAAAAGTCCAAAAAGTTTACACCCCCCAAATCTGAAAAATTTGCATCCAAGAAGAAGAAAAGTTATCAAGCAACAGCAAAAGCCAAACTAGGGGTAAAGGTAGCAAAGAAAAAACAATCAAGATCTATCCTAGATAAGCTGGAAGATCTCTGATGATATGTCATAGTTCTAACCTAACTAGATGAATACTCTTCTGGCTAATACCATAACACAATTAAATCATCATTTCCACATATTTGGAGTTCCCTTGGATTTTTACTAGATGTTTTCTTTTTAGGCAAATATCATTGACGATTTTCAAGAATACAACTATGGAACAATGGAGAGTTACCAGACAGAAGCTCCTAGGCGTGTATCCGGTACAAATGAGGTAATGCACAAAGACAGGATAAAATCACCATCTCACTTTTCCAAAATGGGTGGTATGCCTTGATACACCTGACTCTGGATGAATCTATAATCTGTGTACAGTTTTATGCTTTCATTCTTTTGTTGAGCTAATAGAAACAATAACATTGGTTTGCTATTGCCGAAAGCAGTTCATTTTAACGTAATTCCAATTCAGATTTTGCATGATACTTTGCTTCATGTAATTGCTAAACTGATCAGACTGAATTGGTTGCTTTCATTTTCTTGCTTGCTCCTGGGAGTAAGCACGTTTCTCAGCATGTTGTGATAATGAATATTCACAACATGATCTGAGTTTGAGGAGGAAAATCCTGTAAAGTGAAAATTGTATCATCAAATGATACAATTACAGTTTATGCCATATAACCAATAACCATGCAATTTTATGACAGCCAGTGTTTTTAAGTAATCAGTATATTTTTATTAAATTTATTTACATTTCTAAACATATTAAGGATGAAATATTGTATATGGTTAAAATAACCTATCTTAACTTTTTTGTTGTTATTTTCTATGAAAATACTTTAGTACATAGAAGTACAGACACTCTTCCTTAATACCGTAGTAAATATGCATTATAATCCTGATAAAATGAGCATAGAATTCAGTTTAAATTTGTTAATATACCTGGCATGTAATTCTTTATTATTTTGTCAGAAATTGGGTATGAGAACTATCTGAGTAATTTAGTTACTAGAAAATGTATGTAGCATGTATCCCAATGAGTCAAATAAATTAAGTGGTGCTTTATGTAAAAACATGGAATTTAGAATGTCAACTTTTTGAGTGAGAATGAATTTTAGTGCTTTTCTAGTCTAAATTAATAATTTACCAAAAAATGAATATCATCATTATGAAGATAGTTTATTCTCACTATCTGTAATCCAAATCTTATGGTTACTGAACATTAATCATTTTTATACATGTCTTCATTCAAACAAGTTATTTAAAAACAGAAATCAAAGAATAGCAAAACAAAACATAATTTGTAAATCATGATAATCATAAGATCAAAGAAATTTCATAAAAACTGCATAAGTAATAAGGAATTACTCTTGAGAAAAAGAAAATTATACCAGGTTTTTACTTTTCTATACTTCTGAGGAAGTATTATTAATGCAACCATTACTTCTAAGCTAATATTGTCTCTCTTTATTGGCTTTTACATGGATATATTTTATTTCATTGCCTTAAGTTTGCAGAGTACAATTTGTATTTTATTTATTATAAAGTACTCTGATGAACAAATACCCACCTATGTACCAAATTGTAACAATAACTACTTTCAGCTGACATTGATGTTAATGTGTTATTTGTTGAATTGAGAGTCAAACTTAGCTAACAATTGGATTTAATGGCAATGTTTTTGAATGCGGTTTTTAATTACACAAACCTCAAGTATATGTGTAATTTATTCAAATCTTAAACTGTAAAGCAAGTATCAAATTGACGATGCTTTCTTTAAATTAACAAATACACATGTTGACTCCATGTGAATATTTGTAGTTTATTGGGGAAAAAAAACTTTGAAAGCAATATTTCTCTGTACATATCAATGTACAGATAGATATATTTCTTTTGATTTTCCTGAAAGGCTAGCTTTCCAGGCCTTCAGGTTTATAATATGATTTGCCTGCTTTGTACTCCAATTGCTTTATGTGACATTCCATCAAACTGTAATTGCAAATGCTTACTTTGCTTAACTAACAATACACTTCATGTTCTCCAATCCCTTACAATTTAAATGAATAGCCATATCCAGTTGAAGATGTATTTACTGAAGAATATCTTACTGGAGAGGATTATGATTCCCAGAGGAAAAATTCTGAGGATACACTATATGAAAATAAAGGAATAGACGGCAGGGATTCTGATCTTCTGGTAGATGGAGATTTAGGCGAATATGATTTCTATGAATATAAAGAATACGAAGATAAACCAACAAGCCCCACTATTGAAGAATTTGGTCCAGGTGTGCCAGCAGAAACTGATATCACAGAAACGAGTGTAAGTTGGTATTAAGCTGTATGTCATTGTATCTCTCGCTCTCTTTTTTTTGCCTTTGCACATTTGAAATACAGGTTCTATTACATTGTAAATTGTGACTATTTATTACTTCTGTAACACCTCCATCAAGTATTTCTCTTTGGGATTATCAGGAGTTGTATCTCCTGTGCTCACCACTGGAATCTTCACTTTAAAACATAAATATTGAATAGAATTGAAACCCATGTTTCTTGTCATTTCTAAGATTGAAATATAGCTATTATTATTCCAAGTTGTAAATTTAACATCTGATCTTTATGCTATTTTATTAAATTTAATCTGTTCATCTTTCTTAGAACCTTGAAATGATAAAACATAATTTACAAAAGTCTCTGTCTTGCTATATTTTCAAGAAACACTAAATCGCATTTTAAGATTCAGTATTATTTAATAAACAATCTTTTTCACTTTTGCATAATTAAACCATGATCAGTTTTCTTACTAAGAAAAAAAAAATAATAGAGTGTTTTAAATGTCCATTAGTAGTTAAATTTTTCCTCTTCTACCCCCGCCTTCGATTTTTTTTTTTTTTTTTTTTAAATTGGAAGTAGTCTTAATAGTTAAAGACTTTCAGGCTGCTTTGAATTTTCATTCAACAGATAAATGGACATGGAGCATATGGAGAAAAGGGGCAGAAGGGAGAACCAGCAGTAGTTGAACCTGTAAGTACTCACATGAATGCATTTTAAAGCTAGTTACAATTACTTAATTTAAATTATTTGCTAACATCATCTTAAATTATTATATATGCTCATGTCTTACTATTGAAGACCCTGCAGTCCAAAATGCTTCTAATTTGACACAAAATATATGCTAGTAAGACCTTTTGCTGAAGTGAAGTTTCAGTAAACCAACAAATTATAGAGATGGAATTTTGGACTTAGAAGGTTACTGGGGCTCATGTAGTATAACTTTATCAGCAATAAAAGAACATGAGCTCTAAAGGGTTTCAGTAACTTTCCACAGGTTCCAAATGTTTGGTGGTTGAGGTATAACAACTCTCTTTTTTTAAATTTTCAATTCAGTGATTTTTCTCCCCTTTGATCTCTAGGATTTGATTTTATTAGAAATACATTACTTCACAAAAGAAGCTTATTTGTTTCATGTTCAAATTGCATCACATAATACACAAATATCTTCTAAATTTCATATCTTTTCATTCCACAGAAAAAAGTTCTGATGCATTCTTAAAATGATTTTGTATATACATTGATGTTAATAGTATTTATGGTAATGAGAGGAAGTAAATTCTTACTGACAAGTAATTTTACTTTTGCTCCTTTAAATCTGAAATTGAGAAAAAACAAGTAGAATTCAAGATAACATGTTTAACTGTATGTTTGCTCTAGCCTCACGAAAATCATTTCAGAAATTTCAGTTACATTAAAATTTATGTATTTGAGGGGGCTTCAAAAACTTCATAAAGAGGAATTAAAAGATGATGAAAGTTTTCCAGGAACTTTTGAACCGCTCTGTTGTTAGACGTAACACAGGAGTCCTGGTGTGGTGCTGTTAGATAAGCACTAAACTGCTAACCACAAGGTCGGCAATTCAAACACACTTGTTCCTTGGAAACTCTCTACAGGGTCGCTATGAGTCAGAATGGACTCAACTGTACTTAACAACAATATAAAACACAAGATGCAGCTTTAAGTTCATTATGGTCACGTACCGCATAACTCCAAAATCTGGGAAAGCATGTCATATGCCAACCAAATGCTTTCAAAAGAATTTTTTTTTCAGAATTAACTTGTCTTTGTTATAAAATTATAAAACTGGCATTTTAAATAACAAAGCATTGTTCAGCCTACTGAAATAGCAAAGGTTTTAGGAATGGGTTCTTATCCTGCAATATTTCTCTATTCTCTTTCTTATTTAAGAACTTACAACCCATTACTTTTGCCTGGAATTTTCTTCCTTTTACCTGAACAAAGGTACATTGCTGTTGTTACTACGTGCAGTGGAGTCATGGTTGTGTCAAGCATTGCTCTGTGTGCTAGGGAAAAGTTGACCAACTTCATTTTGTATGTCCTTCATGGGAGCACTTAGCATGTTATACATACTAATGTAATTATTCTTAATATTTCTAGTTACCATAGTTTAGATAAATTATGTGTGCTTTTGACATTTGTTTGCCAGAATCATCCCACCCCTATAAGATATTTTTGTAAGCACTCTGTAGGATAAACACTGGACTTTGAACCACAAGGTTGGTGTTCTGTGGCCACCAACTGCTCTATGGGAGAAAGAAGAGACTTCCTGCTCCCACAGAGATTTGCAGCCTAGGAAACCCTACACAAGGTCTCTATATAAGTCCGTACTGACTCAATGGCAATGAACAACAATAATGCTAATTAGAAATAATATTGCTGTAAAAAACAGAAAATCGCTTATCACACTTATAAAAATACCACACAGAGGGAAGGCATCACTGGCATGCAAATTTAGAGCATGCATGTTATTTGCATAAAATATAGTGATTTGCATATTCTTTGACAGCAGAGAATCCCATGACCTTGAATTTCTTCCTTTCTTGTAGTAGAAATATTGAATTTACTTCTTAAAATGCAGTGTTGTATTGCTTTATTAGTTAAGAGGTTTGCAACTGTATTTCCCTGATAATGTCTCTTTTATTATTATTATTTTTTTTGCTATAGGGTATGCTTATCGAAGGACCACCAGGACCATCAGGACCTGTGGTATGTAAATTAAAAAAAATTTTTTTTTTGACTTAAATTTTGTTGTTGCTATAAGAGTTCCATTACATTATAAATTTATATAATTTATATATTCAGACTATTATAGAAGCAAGCAACTCTTAAGGGAATTGGGAGCCTTGATCTGCCTTCTTCAGATTTGGCTATCCAATTGATATTCTTTTGATTGATCAAAAATTAAACTTTATTATATGTCTTTTTGTTGCCTAACTCGCTACATCTTCTAGCACCATCCAGGAGGATTGACACAGTGGCTGTAAAAATGGGTTCAAACATGGGACTGAATGTGAGGATGGCGTAGGATTGCATAGTGTTCATTCTGTTGTTCAGAGAGTTGCTATGAGTCAGAACTGACTCTTCAGCACTAAGAACAACACTGAAATTATGAAAATAAAGAAAACATATCTTATTTTTATAAAAGAGGATAGAAATATCCCTACAGAAGAATGAAATTAAGAAGTGTGTAGGGTGACTGTAGAGTAAGCCTAGCTCGGGTGGCACAACGGTTAAGTGTTTGTTTGCTAACCAGAAGTGCAGTGGTTTGAACCCACTAGCAAATCCAAGGAAGAAGGAAATAGTGATGTGCTCCCATGAAGATTACAGTCTAGGAAACCCTATTGGCTAGCTCTACTTTGACCTATAGATTGCTAAACTAGAATCATCTTGAAAGCTCAAAACAAAAGGTTGACATATATATGTTACCTATGTTTTTAAGTGGAGTAATTCTCTCTCAGTGCCATTTCTTGGCAAGGCTAATGCCACTCATTGGGTCTTTATTCAGACCCACTAGCAAGGTCAGGTCAGTACAACTATTCTGAGAGTTGTACTGACCTGACCTTGCTAAAAAAATTCTTCTGTCTTTTTGTGGAATTAAATTCTTGTCATCTGAAACAATACATAATGATGTCTCTAAATCTGTTTTTATCTAAGACAGAGAATGTTAAAATGCCTTCAAACTAAATGATTTTTAATATTTTCAACTTTGCTATCACATTTTTTTGAGGTTTAATTTTATGAATATACAGTTTCTTCAGTAGGACATGAAAACCAACTTCTACGTCAGGGACTTAACATTGGCAAACCCTCCTTTCCGGTTTTTCCTTGGAATGTCTGCTTCTTTCCTGAGAGCAGCTTCATAGAAGAACAGTGGAGCTAGCCATAAAATGGTTCCTATATGTTGCCTTTTCATAGGAAGTTAAATAGGGCAATTGTTTGGGAGAAAAATATATTTTTATGAAGTACAAATGAGTTATTCTTTGATTTTAATGGACAGATTTTCCTGGATTCTTTTGGGATTAAGAGCCTGACTCAAACCATGAATTATTTTCCATAGGGTCTCATGGGTCCTCCCGGACTACAAGGCCCCACTGGACCCCCTGGTGACCCAGGTGACAGGGTAAGTAAAAGGATACCTGATTACAAAATCATGTAACACAGATGAAAATAATTTTTAAAATATTGTAGAAATTAAACATGTTATCCTTCTGGGAAGGTTGTGGGTGTATATTAAGTCCTTGTTGTAGAGTTAATTTTCCAAAGTATAATTTTAAAAAGAAGATTAAAGAATGTGTATTAATCTAGCCTATAATTCTAAGCAAACATTTTTATTAGTCAATTTCTTATTGATTGGAATCCATTGCATTAGATTTAGTTCTTAAAATTTTAATTCCATGAGCTTTACTGAAATGGTTAGAGGCATTTAACTGGAGGCTGATAGAATGGATGGATAAACTTGAAATTATAATTTGGAGCTAAAATCCTAGGTCACATGATGAAACAGATCAAGTTTTTGTTAAATCTCTCCAGTACCTGTTTGTAAAAGTCTTTTCCCATTTTTATTGTGCCCTGAATTTTTATTTTTATTTTTCCCCCATCTTTGAGTATCCAGCAAATATGTGGGTTTTGTTTGTTTTGCTTTTGCTATTTTAAAAATCGTGCTAAGAAAGGGTCAGACATCTAAATAATCGATATATTTTGTACTTGAAACAAATACAATTTAAGAACAAACCCTCTTTTTAATATAAGCTCCATGAATAAAAGATTCTGAAGTATTTCAGGAAATCTGACCTGGGTGTTAGCTATTTAAGATCAAAGGGCATGAACAATGTGCTATGCAAATGCTACTTTTCACATGATCTGCTTCTTTAATCCAGTGTGCCCAGTCTGATGCAGACATTTATTTGTAACCAGTCACTTTAATTAATATTGTCTCATTTACAAATTCCATAGTATTTTTTAAAGAGCTTTTTACACTGTCCCTTAAAAAACATAGATATATAAACGAACCAGAAAATTTAGGTAATATTTTTGAATGAAAATTTGTACTTACCAAGTTTCATTTGTTAGGATCTGATGTAAGGGTTTATATAAGCAGTTGTTCAACCTTTTTACTTTCAAAGTTTGTAAATCTTATGGAGAGCCTATTGAATTTATATTATAAGTGAAATAATATAGTCTTGTGAGAATAGAGTTAATGTTATGGTCAAGGTGTGTTAACTTCTGAGCAGTATTGATATAAGGATTATTTATTGAGCATTTGATTTTAATTGTATCTTTTGCATGCATTTATTGATTGATTTTAGAATTTAGCACTGCCAAGTAAGACTTGAAGGTTAAAAAAAAAAAAGTCTACTTATATTGAAAATTTATGAACATATGTTTTGTACCTACAAGTAACCTACTCATATACAAATAAATATTTAGTATTATTTGTGGTTATAGGCATACCTTGTATTTTTAATTGGACACTGGACACTACAGTAATACCAGGGGGCTTTAAAAAGTTCGTGAAAAGATTGAATTAAAAGATAATGGTATTTCCCCACAAATTTTTTGAAAACCTCTTATATAACCTTCATGTGCAATATTTCATCACTAAGCATTTAAAATATAATAGCAATTGTTAGTTGTTAAGTTTTGTTGAGCTGTTTCTGATTCATATCAACCCTGTGTAGGGTTTCCAAGCTTAGAAATCTTGGTGGGAGCAGAAAGCCTCATTTCTCCTATGGAGCCACTGGTAGGCTTTAACAATTGGCTTTACTCGCAATCTAGTGCTTATCATAGAGACCCACCATGCTCTAAAATTAGTGATTGCCTATGGTACTGTAAGGTAAACACTGGACTGCTAACCATATGGTTGGCCTTATAGACCTACCAGCTACTCCTTAGAAGCCCTGTGCCAGGTCGCTATGAGTTGGAACCAACTTGAAGGCACTTAACAATAACAACAAAAACATACAAAGAGGAGTCCTAGTGTGGTGTTTTAGGATAAGCACTGGACAACTAAGCGCAGGGTTGGTGGTTCAAACCCACCAGTTGCCCCTCAGGAACTATAGAGTTGTTATGAGTTGAAACTGACTCTATGGTACTTAACAACAAAAAGAACATACTATAAGGGATATTTAAATATATATTAAGCCTATCAATTTAATTTCATATAAATATTGTATTGCTTACTGTATGTTATATCTTATCTAATTGCAAGATTCAAACTTGAATTACCCAGTTCTCTAACACTGAGAGAGATATGAACTTATATGAACTTATACAATTTGAATACATTTAGGGCAAATTTCTTATCTTAATTGGATTACACATTTATAATCATGCATTACTAAAATTATCTAAATCTAGTACAGAGTGTAGTGATTTGGTAAGATAAGCATGGGGCTTCGAATCACACGGTCAACGGTTCAAATCCAAAAACTGCTCAGTTGGAAAAAGATTAGGCTTTCTGTTTCCATGAAGATTTGCAGTCTCAAAAACCTGATACAGGGTTGCTATGATTCAAAACTGACTTGACGCGCTTAACAACCAACAACAAACCTAGTACAATGAAATATGACTCTTTCTATGTGTATCTTCTTGAAGGGCATTAACCAAGGAGTAGTGAGCTTTCTGCTCCCATAAAGATTTGCAGCCTCAGAAAACCTGTGCAGGGTCACTATGAGTCGGAACCGACTCTACGGTACTTAACAACAACAACAAGTGAACAAATGAAATATCAATTGCACATAATTATGTTGCTAAATATTATTCTATTTGTAAAAATACCAAGTATTTCATTGTTTATTTACTTATTTTAATTATGCCATTTATGTTCCTAGGGCCCACCAGGACGCCCTGGCTTACCAGGAGCTGATGGTCTTCCTGGTCCTCCTGGTACCATGTTAATGTTACCTGTAAGTCCGTCTATTGTTATAAAGATGACTTGATACTTTGTTAACTTGTTCCTGAAGAATATTGTTGAACTAGAGCAATCAACTGAAAACCATTTAATGAGGAAGACATAATGGAAATCAAACAGGAAATTAAGGGGAACTTAAACAGTAAAAATTCTGATAAATATCAATAATTGCATTAGAGTCAATATTACATTGTTTTATTAGACTTCTGGTAATAAAGTTTAGATCTTTTAAAAAACCTACCCAACTATGAGGTTTATCCAAATTCTTATCATTAATAAACATTTCATAAGTTATTTAAAATAATAATATAATATTTATCACCATATACACTATACTTGAAACTATTTACAGACATTATCCACTGTTCAACATTTATTTGCTTTACTCTAAGTTCCTTTTTTAGGTTATTTACCATAGTTCTCTGAAAAACAATTGTATTTATTTATCAAATTAAATGTTATAAACTGATTTCAAAAAATGTGTATTTAAAGTAAAAAAATTAGTCTCATACTTCATTTTGAATTAAAAAGAGAAGTTTCAGAAATTTAAGGAGGAGTATTAGGAAGAACACGTAAAGAAAAATAATATGTATCACAGATAATGTTCATGTTGAATCCAAAAGTTTTGCTAAACAAAGTAATGATTAATCTATAACCATCACTGAATTTAGTATGCTTGACAATTTTTCAAATGAATTAATATAATGGGTTTTATGCATATACGATGCATGATGGTTTATTTCACAGTTTTCACAGATTATAGAATTTAGAATTGGAAAGGCATCTGTAATATGTTCCCACTACAAATGGTGAACTGTGACGCAGACAGTTTTCATAAGGATTACAGAGAAAAAAAAAAAAAAAAAAAAATCAGATCTCATTTCTCAGCATGGCATTTTCTTGGACTTTTGTAAAATCCCAACATTTTAAGTAGATGGTTTTCATCTAGTGATCAAGACACATAATCGAACATATTTGACAAAAACAAATTCTGAGAATTTTGTGTCAACTCTTCCTAGTTTCGCTATGGTGGGGATAGCTCCAAAGGGCCAGTTGTCTCTGCTCAAGAAGCTCAAGCTCAGGCAATTCTTCAGCAAGCTCGGGTAAGAAAGGACAAATATGCAATCCCCGAGTCTGATTCTGTCTATATCATTCTTGTCCTGTGTTCTGTGTGTGTACGTGTTTGTGTTTGTGGGATATGAAAGCATGAGAAACAGAATGCTTATTTCTGAATACTCTATTAAGTATAAGTAGAAAAAGTAACAAAGCTGTATTTATTTTTTCAAGTAGTGACATTTTCTTTACTTGAATATTGCAGTTAATAAACTGATCCTTATAATATTGCCATATAAATTCTGGCTGTCTATTACCATAATACATAAACTTTCTATTTTATTTAAGAATATTAATGGATTAGCATTTATTCATGTTTTAAACATCCAGTTACTTCACCCCTATGAAGTGATGAAAAGAATTAAAGAATCAACTTTGAAATACTCTCCTCATTATATTCCCCCTTAATATGTTGTTGTTGTTGTTATGTGCCGTGGAGTCGGTTCTGACTCATAGCGAACCTGAACAGGGTTTCCAAGGCTGTAAATCTTTATGGGAGCAGGAAGCCTCCTCTTTCTCCTGTGGAACAGTTTTGAACTGCTGACCCTGAGGATAGCAGCCCGATTCGTAACCACTTTGCTACCAGAGCTCCTTCCCCTTAATAATAGACTAGCTTAAATTGTCCATAAAATTAAGTTTCTCAGATATTCATTTTGTTTCAAAAATAAAAGCTTTCAAATATGTATTCAAGGTTTGGTTCTATTATCCTCTTATTAAAAACTGCTAAATATTAGCTCATTTTCAGTTTAGAATAGTTTGTAAATTGAGATTGACTATTATCTATAGATTTAGAAAATATATAACTACATTATAAAAAATTAGATACATTGCACTTAAATATACATATGTGTGTAAGAAAAACAGAAGAATATATCAGAAAGGAGTTGGAAATTTTACAATATTTTTATTCCTAGTAATCTTTTTTTTTCTTAAGGAAGAAAAACATGAAGGCTTATATGCATATGATACATACCTCCTAACTGATATAATTTAGTCTGTGATATAATTTAATTAATAATACCAAATTTATGTGTGCATAAAATATTTGAATATGTGAGAGTTGTAATCCATTCTCAATATTTGTTTACAAATTATTCTTTATATGATTAATTATTCCTAAAATCTTATAAATTATTTTACTTTGGAAAATGTAAGGTACTTATTTGAGCTTAAGTTTTTTATGAGACCATTCAGTCCTCAATTTATTAGTCCCTTTACCCTACTTGAAAAATAGGTGGCAAGCATTGCAATTCCAATTTTTCAGATATTTAATTTCAAGATTTGAGAAATCTAGTGTCAAAATCTCATTGTGAGTAGTGGAATTTTGCAGATTCTACATTTTTCATCTTGTGTACTCTTCTAATATTATTATGAATATTATATATTGCAATAGTATTTTTGACTCTTGTCATAATTCTAAATTTTCATCTGTCAGTCTCAATAATATTGAGAAATAGCACTGCATACTAATTTAACATTGTTTAAATTTGTATTACTTTTCTTCTAAATAATCTAGCCTTTTCAGTTTTCTATTTTCATATTCCTAATATTCAGTGTAATAAAAGTGCATGCAATCATGATTATACCTAGTATTATGCAATATACATATATTTTTCTATGTATCATTAAATTTGCCAAAGTTGAGATTTGTTCAAAGAAGTTTATTAATACATTACCTGATAAGTTTTGCTTTTTGCTCTATGTCTTTCATTATAATTTTTCATAAATGTTGCTAGAAATTTTAATTTAAATTATATTAAATTGACCACTACTAAAAGTATTTTCAGTGAGAATTGTACCTTTGCATATCAGAGTAGAAGCCCATTCATTATTCTGAAATATATTTCAGAGCAGTAAACTTGTTAGCTGTTACGTTTCTTGTTTTGAAATCTATTGTAATTTTTATAATTGGATGAATCATAATAATATATGACAGATTGTATACGATGTCTGATACTTGTATAGTATTTTTGCCATTCTAGAAACACAACTCTTTAGTGGTGTGGGATTCTTTCCAGCATGTAGCTGTGTTGATCATGCATAATTTAAGAGTAACTTATTAAAATTAATAATATATTGTTATACATTCTTCCAGAAGTACATTCTTGATCATTTTATTTTCCAGATTGCTCTGAGAGGTCCACCTGGCCCAATGGGTCTAACTGGAAGACCGGGTCCTGTGGTAGGTTACTAAAAAAGATATTATATGTTAAAATAACCATAGTACAAATTTCTTAGAGAACTTCTGACAGGCATTGTTCATTTCTATGGTTGGTGAAAATAGGGTACATATACCTATTTAAAGGGAGTCCTGGTGTGACGCTGTGAGTTAATGCACCAGACTGCAAAGCCATTTGAACTGCAAGGTCGGTGGTTTGAGCTCACCAGCTGCTCCTCGGAGATTCTATACAGGGTCGCTATGGGTCGAAACTGACTCCACGGCACTCAACAACAACAATAATATAATTAAGGGTCATGTATACAACTATTCAAGTCCTGGTATAGCACTGTAGGATAAAACACTGGACCACAATGTCAGTTTGAACAGCAGAGTCAGTGGTTCAAAGTCACCAGCTGCTCCTTGGAAACCCTATACTGGTTTGCTATGAGTCAGAACCAACTCCATGGCACTGAACAACAACAGTGACATACAACTATTAATTTCTTAAAATGTAAATGTTCAAATTGATTAGCATAATATTCAGTTACTAGGCATCAGACTTGTATTAAACAAAATTTGGCATTAAATAAATAAAAGAAGTCTTAGATACTTGTGCACAGTATTAGTACCATGTTTAAGTATTTGGCTTAAACTACATACTGCATGCATTATTAGGAATTAGTGAAATTCTTTTCTCTTTTAGACGCTCTTAGAAAGTAACAGTGTTTGTATGATATATGCTAAGGTTCTTCAAATCATTCATCTAAAATGTCTTTAATTACTGTTGAAATTTAACAAATGTTAAGAAGTATAGCAATTGACAAAGGCCATGAAGATAGTTTCCCACTCATGTTTTCTCCTTAACAGAAAAGACCTCTGCAGTATTCCATCCAAAATTCTCATAAACTTCAGAATTAAAGGAATAAATATTTAACTACTATTTCAAATATTTCTCAATAGGTAAAACTCCTTCATATGACTTCATATGCTTCCTTGAAATAATGTTATGCGTAGGATCTATTACTCTGAATGTTAAAAAAAAACAAAACTTATATTTGATGTACATAATAGACACATAATGCAGTCCTGGTATGGCCTTGAAGGATAAGCATTGGACCACAAGTTGGTTTGAACAGTAAGATTATCTGTTTAAACTCACCAGCTGCTACTCAACAATCCTATACAGGATTGCTATGAGTCAGAACTGAATCAACAGACAGCAAGTAGACACTTATAGCAAAAATACCTTGATTATGAATGAAATGTTTAGTATTTTAATTATTAATCCATTTTACTGATCAGATTTAGATTACAGATACTTTTCTTCATGAATTTTCTTCAATAGTTCATAATTTAGTTATGTACAAAATCTACTTTCTCTTATTCAAACTTGAAATGTTACAGAACTTCATGTATTTTAAAGGGCTGTAGCTTGAATCATATGAACTCATGTGGAACATATACTGGTAATAAGTTCCAGAGAATAAATATTATATACATTGTCATTGTTGTGTCATTGAGTTGGTTCACACTCATAGCAACCAGTATAGGGTTTCCAAGGAGCAGCTGGTGACTTTGAACCACTTGTGACCTTGTCTAGGGTTTATTATATATTGCTGTTTTTCTGACACTAAAAATACAGCCATAAGTCTAGAATGGCTCTGATGGCCTAACAGTTTGGTGCTTGTTGGTTACTAATTAAAAGGTTGAAAGTTCATACTTATTCATCGACTCCATAGGATAAAAAGTTGGTGCTCTACATCCCTAATGATTACAGCCAAGAAAACTCTATGTGGCAGTTCTTTCTCACATGGGATCACTGATTTGGAATTAACCAAAAGCACACAACAATATCATTTTATAAAATATGAAATAAGTTAATTTTTGTAATGCTGGTGTGGCATTCTAGGATAAGCACTGGACTTCTAACCTCAAGGTTTGCAGTTCAAACCCTCCAGCCATTCTTCAGAACTCTTAACAGGGTTGATGAGTTGAAACTGTCTTGTTAACAATTAATATCAACAACAATTTAATATTTACTAGATTATTGTTGTTAGATCAGCTTTACATATCTGAGGAAATCTATTATTACACTAGTGTTTCCAAAGTAAAGTTCCAGAGCTGTAAACTTGACACTGTAGTGATACAGTTCTCCAGGATTGTTGTTGTTGTTGTTAGGTGCCATTGAGTCATTACCAACTCATAGCAACCTTATGCACAGCAGAATGAAACACTGCCTGATTCTGGGAAACCTCACTACTGTTGCCATGCTTGAATCCATTGATGCTGCCACTTGGCCAATCCATCTCGCTGGGGTCTTCCTCTTTTTCTCTGACCCTCAACCTGACCAAATATGATATCCTTCTCCAGTGACTAGTCCCCTCTGACAATATGTCCAAAAGTATGACAGACGAAGTTTGGCCATCTTGGCCACCAAGGAATACTCTGGCTGCACTTCTTCCAACACAAATCTGTTGGTTGTATGGGCAGCCCATAGCATTTTCAATATTCCCCTTGAATACCATAGCTAAAAAGCATTAATTCTTCTATGGTCTTCCTTATTCACTGTCCAGGTTTCGCATGCATATGAGGTTATTGAAAATACCATGGCTTGGGTCAGGTACACCTTTGTCCTCAAGCTGACATCTTTGCTCTTCAACACTTTAAAAAGGTTTTGTGCAGCAGATTTGCCTAATGCAGCATTTTGTTTGATTTCTTGACTGCTGCTTCCATGAGTGTTGATCCAAGAATGAAGTCCTTGATAACTTAAATCTTTTCTTTGTTGATAAGAATGTTGTTTATTGGTCCATTGGTGAGGATTTTTGTTTTCTTGACATTGAGATGTAATCCATACCGAAGGCTGTGCTCTTTGATCTTCATCAGTAAACGTTTTAAGTCCTCTTCACTAATAGCAAGCAAGGTTGTATCATCTACATATCGCACATTGTTAATGAGTCTTTTTCCAATCCTGATGCCATGTTTTTCTTCATATAATCCAGGTTCTTGAATTATTCGCTCAGCATACAGGTTGAATAAGTATGGTGAAAGAATATAACCTTGTCGCACACCTTTCTTAATTTAAACCATTCAGTGTTCCCATGTTCTGTTCAAACAACTGCCTCATGGTCCAGGTACAGATTCCTCATGAGCACACTTAAGTGTTCTGGAATACTCATACTTCACAGTGTTGTTCATAGCTTGTCATGACCCACACAATCAAAAGCCTTTGCATAGTCAATAAAGCACAGGTAAACATCTTTCTGATATTCTCTGCTTTCAGCCAAGATCCATTGGACATTAGCAATGATATCCCTTGTTCCACAGCCTTTACTGAATTCGGCTTGAACCTCTGGAAGTTCTCTTTCAATGTGTGCTTGCAACTGTTTCTGTATTGCCTTTACTAAAACTGTACTCGCATGGGATATCAAAGAGATCATCTGATGATTTCCACATTCTGTTGGGTGTACCTCTCTTTGGAATGGGCTCAAATATGGATCTCTTCCAATCATTCAGCCAGATAGTGGTTTTCCAAATTTCTTGGCAGAGATGAGTGAGTGTCTCATGTGCCGCCTCACTTTCTTGAAAGATTTCAATTTTTATTTCATCAATTCCTGGTGCCTTGTTCGTTGCCAATTCTTTCAATGCACCTTGGACTTCCTCCTTCAGTATCAGTGACTCTTGATCATATGCTACCTCTTGAAATGGTTGAACATCAACCATTTCCTTTTGGTACTGTGACTCTGTATTCCTTCCATCTTCTTTTGATGCTTTCTGCATCATTCAGTAATTTACTCAGAGAATCTTTCAATAAGGAAAGTTGAGGCTTGAATTTTTTCTTCAGTTCCCCCAACTTGAGAAATGCTGAGCTTGTTCTTCGTTTTTGGTTTTCTGATTCCAGATCTTTGCACATTTTGTTGTAATATTTGTCTTTATCTTCTCGAGCCGATCTTTGAGATTTTTCTGTTCAGCTCTTTTATGGTGGCTTGTGAGATGCTGTGATTCTGAAAGCTATGCCACCAATATTTTAAATATCCGCAGGGTCACCCATGGTGGACAGGTTTCAGATGAGCTTCCAGACAAAGACAGACTAGGAAGAAGGAGTGACAAACTACTTCCAAATACTTAGTCACTGAAAATATTATGAATTGCAGCATTCCAGGATAGTCATCTGCAAACTGTATTTTAAATAAATGCACAAGGCTGATTCTTATAGCTGAAAATGTTTGGGGAACCTTGCTTGTTGTTGCTGTTAAGTGCCATGTAGTCAGTTCCAGCTTACAGCAACCCTGTATAGGGTTCTTGAAGAGTGACTGATATATTAGAACCACTGAACTTGTGGTTAGCAGTCCATTGCTTTTCTGGTAGTGGCACACCAGGCCATAAACAATTTATGTTTAGATATCAGCCTAAAATACTTATAGCAGTGTTATCCAAAGGAAATCTGTTTCTTATTGTTTTGAGGAAAGCAAGTCTGGTGGATCTGTGGAAGGTGAGGGCAGACGTGAACAGCACCAGTGGGAAGATATTCATTAACAGTTCTTACTTTCAACAATTATTAAGGGTCATTTGTTCTCTCAGGAAATGATGGCAAGGAGAAACCACTGATCATCACTATATACCCTCAGTGCCATTATAGGTGTTGTTATGAAGTGTTGTCAAGTCGATTCCAACCCATAGCGACTCTGTGTAATAGGGTTTCCAAGAAGCATGTGGTGAGCTTGAACCATTGACCTTGCAGTTCAAATGGCTTTTCAATCTGGCGCATTAACCCACGGTGCCACACCAGGACTTAATTTACCTCTGTTATATAAAGTTTCAGTCTCCTAAGTGTTAAAACATACTGCTCCTTTTCATAATTTTCTTTTATTATCCTTTATTCCATAATATCAAATGAGTATAGGATTTCAAGCAGCTATTAATTCTAAAGTCCATTAACATATTTTATGCATTATGAATTAGAAAAGTCTGCATCTATATTTTAAGGTATAAATATGCATATTTTTCCAATGAAAAATTCTTAC